CTGTAAGCAGCATTCCTCCATGGCCTGTGCTCCAGCTCCTGCCTCCAGGTTCCTGCCCTGAGTTCCTACCTTGGGCTCCCTGATGAACTGTGTGCGACCTGGGAGATGTAAGACAAATAAACCCTTTCCTTCCCAAGTTGGTACTGGTCAGAGTGTTTTGTCACAGCAATGAAGAACAAACTAAGACAGTCCTTTTTGTGGTGCACCTGCTGTCTCTCCAGGACCCTGGTCAGGCTTGCTTCCTGTCTTTTTTCTTTTCTTTCCTCTTTTTGTTCTGCTCTCTCCCTCCTATTATAAACCTTTTCCACCACTGCTATTAAGTCCCTAAGGTTCTTTTCTCCTAGTCTATCTAGAGACTACAACTTTTTCTTGATGTCGGGGGCTACCTGGTTAACGAAAGCAAACATCACAGTTTGGGCTGATTCCTCTGCTTCTGGGTCATACAGAGTGAACCACCAGAAGGCATCTTGTAACCTCTCTAAGTATGCAGCTGGGCTCTCTTCAGGCCCCTGCCTGACACCATAGACCTTAGACATATTGGTGGGTTTTCTAGCCGCCGCTTTGAGACCTGCTAGCAGAGTCTGGTGATAGACCAGGAGCCTCTCCTTACCTTCTGCCATGTTGTAGTCCCAGTTGGGATGGCTAGGGGGAAAGCTGGCATTAATGATGCCTGGGTCTGTGGTAGGGTCCCCAGTGGGGCCCGGAACCAATTTCCGGGCTGCCTCCAGGATCCTGTTTCACTCCTCAGTAGTGAACAGGACACTCAGGAGCTGGTGGCAATCGTCCCAGGTGGGCTGGTGAGTGAAAAGAACAGTTTCCAATAAGTTAATCAAGTCCCTGGGGTTTTCAGAGAAAGGTGCATTCTGTGAGCACCAATTGTAAAGATCACTGGTGGCAAAGGGCCAGTAATGAAAAGGCTGATTGCCCTCTCTGTCTGGGGGCCCGGCTGGCTGGAGGGGGAGGACAACTGTGTCAGGCTGGAGGGCTGCCCCCCTCCTGCTCCTTGTGGCCTGTGCAGGCCCCTGCGGGAGCGATGGTGGTTCCTCAGAGTTAAGAGGCGGGGTCTGCACTTGTGGCGCTGTTGGCGGGATGCTAGTCTGAGGGGAGTAGGGCAGGGGAAAGATGTCGCTCTCCTCCGTGCCTCCCTGGAGAATGGGTTTCTCTGCCGCCTTTGGTCTGAGAGGGAGAAACTGCAAAGTTGGGGGGGGACAACAAGATTAACTGGGGGAAGAAAGGACTTGACCCAGGCAGGGGGGGCCGTCAGGTCGCTCGATGAGGCCCTGCCAGATTACGATGTACAGAATCTGGTCCTGGTGGCCTGTTCGTGGGCGGAAGACATGGTCCTCTACTCTGGAAATCAAACTCAGGTGTAAAAGTCCCTTCAGGGGGCCATCCAACATTTAAAGAGGGCCAATCAACCGAACATAAACTTGTCCATTTCTTCTTTTTTACATCTACACTATTGTTATGGGCAATTGTCTTAACGTCCCCCCAGTGGACTAGCATAAGATCGAGAGGGGAAGATGGGGTGTTGCCCATAGTATTCGTCAGTCCTGTCCATTTCATCAACAAAGAAATTAGAACAAGGAGCACAAGACACAGGAACGACACAGAGAAACAAAGGGCCCAGAATAAGCTGCCGGGGCTTTCAGATGGTCTGGACTCTCGGCCGGGTGAGTTCCCCAGCTCTATTATGCCAAAGACCATATGGATAGGATGCATGTGTCCCAACAGGGTCGTGAAGTCCTCTGAGGTTTCAGACGGACTAGTGTCCTGGTGGGGCGTCTGATGAGCAGCACCCACCCACCCCGAGGATGGGGACGTCTCCCGAATCCTCCAGGTTGCCTTGTGAGAGTTTCAGTGACAAAGAAAAACTGAGATCAGATGGCCATGACCAAAGTGAAAGTATAGAGAAGACAGGCACACGCACAATTTACAAAAACTTACCCGGCTGGTTGATCACAAACCTTTTGGGGTCGGTTCCTCTGAGGGGGGCATCCTCTGGGGGGATCCCAGACGAGCCCCCAAATGTTGTACCTCATCCACTGCACCCCCAAAAGACCACCGAGGACCCAACACACCAAAATGCAAAAGCAAGGTTTATAGTTTATTCGGGCTTAAGCTCGGGCTCTCAGACCGCACCAATATAACGGAACTGTTATATTTCTTCCCCCTGGGTGGGGGAAGAAAAGGCTCTTTATAGGTTAGAGACAAAGGGAGGAGGTGAATAACAGTGTCACTTTGTGGTTGGTCCAAGAGTCCTGCTCGCGCCAACACACCTTTGAACTGATCGGTTGTACAGGATGCAGTCATGGAGATATTTTTTTTTGGCAGGTGTTGTTATCAGGGTTGTGGAATGTGCTGGCTGTCTCTGTGGTCAGGAGTCTTTATTTTTACTCTATAGAGCAGTGTTCATACCCGGGTTTATCTAATCTATAGTTTCCTGGAAGGGGAACAGCAGGGGAGGAGTAGCAACAGGTGTGCATTTCAAGCATTACACAGAAGCTGAAAAGAGCAATCAGTGTGGTGTTGGGAGGGGTTGAATGAGGGGGATCTCTGGGTCCTACAGTCACCACCTGCAGTCTTTCCTCATTGGTTTTTCTCCCGTCCTCAACAAGATGGCTCCTCTTGGTCTTAAGGACCTTCCTTATGAAGGTCAATTTCTTTTCTCCCTGGGACAATTCATCCTCTTCTTTCAGCATGTCTGCCTCTTCTGTGTTCTTTTTTCCTTTCTTGTTTCTATCCTTACTTGTTCACTGGCTGTGAGCTTTCCCCCAACACTCTGCCTCTTTTCCCTAGCCAGTTCTCTGCCTTCTGGACTCAGTCTCTTTTTTTCCTTGGCTTCTTCCTTTTTTTCCTGAAACCGTTTTTCCACTTTACCAGGCTGCCTCTCTTTTATGAAGGTCAGTTTCTCTTCTTCCAAGACCAATTGTTTTTTCCGTTTAATCTCTTTCCCTTTCTCACTGGGTGGCCTCTCCTTCTCACTTGGTGGCCTCTCTTTCTCTCTGTGTGGCCTCCCTTTCTCTCTCTGTATGGCCTCTTTCTCTCTGTGTGGCCTCTCTTTCTGTGTGGCCTCTCTCTCTGTGTGGCCTCTCTTTCTCTCTGTGTGGCCTCTCTTTCTCTCTCTCTGTGGCCTCTCTCTGTGGCCTCTTTCTCTCTGTATGGCCTCTCTTTCTCTCTGTGTGGCCCCTCTCTCTGTCGCCTGTCTTTTTCTCTCTGTGGTCTCTCTTTCTGTGTGGCCTCTCTCTCTCTCCTCTCTCTGTGGCCTGTCTTTTTCTCTCTGTGGTCTCTCTCTCTGTGTGGCCTCTCTCTCTCTGTGGCCTCTCTCTCTGTGTGGCCTCTTTTTCTCTCTGTGTGGCTCTCTCTGTCTGTGTGGCCTCTCTCTCTCTCTCTGTGGCCTCTCTCTCTGTGTGGCCTCTTTTTCTCTCTGTGTGGCTCTCTCTGTCTGTGTGGCCTCTCTCTCTCTCTCTGTGGCCTCTCTCTCTGTGTGGCCTCTTTTTCTCTCTGTGTGGCTCTCTCTGTCTGTGTGGCCTCTCTCTCTCTCTCTGTGGCCTCTCTCTCTGTGTGGCCTCTTTTTCTCTCTGTGTGGCTCTCTCTGTCTGTGTGGCCTCTCTCTCTCTCTCTGTGGCCTCTCTCTCCATATGGCCTCTCTTTCTCTCTGTGTGGCCTCTCTCTCTCTGTGGCCTCTCTTTCTCTCTGGCCTCTCTCTGTGGCCTCTTTCTCTCTGTGTGTGGCCTCTCTCTCTGTGGCTTCTCTTTCTCTGTGTGGCCTCTCTCTGTGTGTGGCCTCTCTCTCTCTCTCTGTGGCCTCTCTCTCCATATGGCCTCTCTTTCTCTCTGTGTGGCCTCTCTTTCTCTCTGTGTGGCCTCTCTCTCTCTCTCTGTGGCCTCTCTTTCTCTCTGTGTGGCCTCTCTCTGTGTGTGGCCTCTCTTTCTCTCTGTGTGGCCTCTCTTTCTCTCTCTCTATGGCCTCTCTCTCTCTGTGGCCTCTCTTTCTCTCTGTGTGGCTTCTCTTTCTCTCTCTCTCTATGGCCTCTCTTTCTCTCTCTCTGTGGCCTCTCTCTCTCTGTGGCCTCTTTCTCTCTGTATGGCCTCTCTTTCTCTCTGTGTGGCCTCTCTTTCTCTCTGTGTGGCCTCTCTCTGTGTGTGGCCTCTCTCTCTGTGGCCTGTCTTTCTCTCTCTGTGGGCTCTCTCTCTCTGTGGGGCCTCTCTTTCTCTCTGTGGCCTCTCTTTCTGTGTGTGGCCTCTCTCTCTGTGGCCTGTCTTTCTCTCTCTGTGTTCTCTCTCTCTCTCTGTGGCCTCTCTTTCTCTCTCTCTCTCTCTGTGGCCTCTCTTTCTGTGTGGCCTCTCTCTCTCTGTGGCCTCTTTCTCTCTGTGTGGCCTCTCTCTGTGGCTTCTCTTTCTCTCTGTGTGTGGCCTCTCTCTCTGTGACTTCTCTTTCTCTCTGTGTGTGGCCTCTCTCTCTCTGTGGCCTCTCTTTCTCTCTGTGGCCTCTCTCTCTCTCTGTGGCCTCTCTTTCTCTCTCTGTGTGGCCTCTCTCTCTGTGTGGCCTCTCTTTCTCTCTGTGTGTGTGTGTCTCTCTCTCTGTGACCTCTCTGTGTGGCCTTTCTCTCTGTGTGTGGCCTCTCTTTCTCTCTGTGTGGCCCCTCTCTCTCTGTGGACTCTCTTTCTCTCTGGTGGCCTCTCTCTCTCTCTCTGTATGGCTGTTAGGGAAAGAGGAATTTACTGCTTGGTTGAATTTACTGCTTGTAACTGATTAACTCAACTGGAGACACAGGCATTGGAGATAGGGGCAAGTGCTGCAGCCCCTGGAGCCTGACCTGTCTCATCTGTGTCATGTCACGTAGGCATGTCTGCTTACACAAGATAACGGAAGGGTTGCACCAGGCACATACCACCCACCCTTCCCCGATTGAGACACCTGAAGGGAGTTGTAACATTTTTCTTGTTTTAAAGTTATTAATTTGTGAAATGCTTGCTTTGAAACTATTGGTTGTATAAAAGTGGGCTTTTGTGTAACGGTAGTGGGAGCCTATATAATCTTTCGATGACCTGGGGAGGCAGGAGGGATGCAGTTAAGGTCTCAAGGAAACAGGGACCGAGTGGGCTGGCCTAATAAAACTGCTTGATTTTTGCATCTCCATACTCATGCATTTGTTCTCCTGAAGAGACCCACTGAGTCATGGACCCTAACATGGCCTCTCTTTCTCTCTCTCTGTGTGGCCTCTCTCTCTGTGTGGCCTCTCTCTCTCTCTGTGTGGCCTCTCTCTCTCTGTATGGCCTCTCTCTCTCTATGTATGGCCTCTCTCTCTCTCTGTGTGGCCTCTCTCTGTGTGTGGCCTCTCTCTCTCTGTGTGGCCTCTCTCTCTCTATGTATGGCCTCTCTCTCTCTGTGTGGCCTCTCTCTCTCTGTATGGCCTCTCTCTCTCTCTATGTATGGCCTCTCTCTCTCTCTCTGTGTGGCCTCTCTCTGTGTGTGGCCTCTCTCTCTCTCTGTGTGGCCTCTCTCTCTCTATGTATGGCCTCTCTCTCTCTCTGTGTGGCCTCTCTTTCTGTGTGGGCTCTCTCTCTCTGTGGCCTCTCTTTCCCTTTCTCACGCTGTAGTGTCTCTTTCTGGACCACTTTTTCCACTTGTAGAGCTGGGTTCTGTCTTTTCTCGGCCCCCTTTGTCTTCCCCAGTAGCTTCCTTACCATTCCCCTCTTTCTTTGCTTGCATCTCTTTGGCCTTGGCCTGTTTCCCTTTTTCTTTGTGCATTTTCTTAGAATCCTCCATTATATTTTCCTCTTCGGGGCCTAGTATTAAATTTTCTCTTTGCCATAGTTTTACTCGCTCAGGCGCTTCCTCCACTGTTTGAGTCAGTCTCGCCCTCAGCATGGATAATCTCTCTTGCTCAGCTCTCCATTTTTTCTCTTCCTGGGTCTCTTCTTTCTTCACCTCCCTGACCTGTGCCCCCTCTTCTTCCCAGAACTCTTGTGTCTCTCTCCATTATCACTTCCTCTTTCTGCACCCATCTCTCTTCTTTCTGAATTTCCCTTTCCTCTTTCCAGAGAGGCCTAACTTCTTCTGGCAACTTCCTCATTTCCTCCAATTCTTCACCCTCTTCTGGTTTCTTTTTTTCCTGTGCCAAATGTTTTTGCTCCTTGACCTCACCCTCCTCTTCCTGCTCTTCCCTCTCCTTCTGGTCTTGTTTCTCCTGTTCAACCTCTTCTCTGACTTGTTTATCAAGCTCTTTTTCCTCTTCTACAGACCATTTCTTTGTTGGGGCCGAGATATCCTCTTCCTCTGCCGGGCTCTCCCTTTCTGATGTTTCTTCACTTTCTTCCCTTTCTTCCTCGGACAGTTCATCCTCTTCGCTAGACAAATAATCCTGGGCCCCCAGGTCAAGTTCCCAGTCCTTTTCCTCCTCTTCCTCCATTCCCCAGCTGGGCTCCTGCTCTTCCTGGAGCAGTTTCTTCCATTTTCCAACTCCTTCCTCTAAGTCCTCCTCTTCTCCAGCTTGTTCCTGTTCTTTCCCAGTCAGTCCCTCCCCTTCCGGTCCCAGCCTCTTCCCTTCAGTTCCTTCTCTGGGAACAGTGTCCTCTCTTGCCTGGCCCTTATGCTCTCCTCTTGGGCTTCCATCATCTTTTCCAAACTCCGTGTTCTCTTCTCTGGGGATGGTGTCCCCTCTTTCCAGGTCATTTTCCTTCCTTTTCCAAGTGATTTCTTCTTTTGCCATACTTTCTTTTTTCCAAGAACTAACTTCTGGTCTTCTGTGGTTAACTCTTGTGGGAGAGTAGGGATTCTTTTTCCTGTGTCACTTTTTATTCTGGGTGGGTTGGTTTCTTTTCTCCTTTTATCAGTTTTTTCTTTTGTTGCATTTTTTCCCTCAGGCTTTATCAATTTCTCTTTATCCTCGGGCTTCAACAATTTCTTTTTCCTCAGACTTTATCGATTTCTTTTTTCCCTCAATTATTTCCCTTTTTCGTTTGCTTGGTTTCCTTACTGTTGGCTTAAGTTTCCTTTTCTCTGAGATGCAATAATCTACGAAATCCATTTTCTTGCCCTTCAGAGGAATTGCCACAATTTTTTCCAGCATTCTTTCATTCCCCTCTTTGATAGCTCTCAGTATCCCTTCATCCTTGACAGCCTTTTTAGCCATCTTTCTTCTAATGACAGATGCTCCCTCTGCATCTTCATGTGATTCTGATCGCAATGTCCTTGAGGCCTGTAGACCTGGACAGATCTCTTTGAAGAGCTCCTAGCTAGGGTGTTCATCAGCGAGCACCATATGAGCCAAGCCCACCAGTTCTTTACCCAGATCCCTTTCCATTCCTGGATGAGAACTTGCTAGTCTTGAAGTGACAGGGTAGCAAATATCATCTCACCAAGACCTTCTGTCTGACATGCTCATATGCCCAGGGGTCCCAGCTAAACTATGACTAGCATGTTGCGGTCTCTGTGTCCTTTTCTGGCTCAAAAGCATTGACCTTTCTGACCTCTCCCTCAGGCCCCCTGCCCCTTTCCTCTGTGAGATGATCTGAGACCTTTTCCTCTTCCCACTCCAACTGTGCTGCTTTGGGCTCTTTCTTCAATGTTTGTTTCAAAAGCTTTTTAAAGTGTTCTTTTCTTTTCTTTTTAATGATCCCTTCTTGGCCACCTTTTATGTGACGTTGATCTGTGACTCCAGTGGCTGCCGAGACCTCCATTACAGCACCATCCTGGGATTTGGCAGAGCTGAGTGGCTACTCTGGCTTTAAGGAAACATCCTGGGTATGAGTTTTCATGAATTTCCTGGGCTTTCTTTGTTCACCTGTATCTTCTGAAGGCGCTAACATGGAGCTAACTTTTTGTAATTCTGTCTTTTTGGTCCTCTTGGATATTTTCAGGGTCCTTTTAACTGCAAAAATATTAAGAGAGAAATAGTTAAGAAAATGTAGAGACCATGATGGTAGAAGCTGTGTTCTCATAACCAAACTCTTTTTTACATAATGTCCTTGTAAGCTTAGGACATTTGAAGTTTCCTCTTGTTTTACCCACTAGACATCTTGAAGTGCAGCTCTGATGTTTTGCTACCCAGTGATGTTTTATTGCTCTGTAATAGCTTGAAGCTCTGTGATGTTTTCTAACTAACCATGTCTAACTACTGATAAAAGAAAAAAAACTAAGCTGGGTGTGGTGGTGCATGCCTTTAGTCCCAGTGGATCTTTGTGAGATTGAGGCCAGCCTGCTCTACCTTGCCAAGTTCCAAGGCAGCTGGGGCTACAGGAAGACCCTGTCTCAAAAAAAAAGACCAGAGAAAAAGAAGAAAGGAGAACTCCCCAAATGGGCTAATAGGCACCTGGTCCAATTAGTCTAACAAAAACATAGCTCAAACACGACATATCTAAACTTCTGCCAGTGATATAAGATTTTGTAAACTGCAATGGCTGTTTCACCAATTCCTAGCCCAATTTTGCTGGCCTAGCTATAGATCAAAAGGCAGCAGATATCCTGACCCATGCCTGGGATATCTACTTTGTAAGCTGAGACAACATGGCTCATCATGAAAAGAAGCATAGGGTGTCAGTCATAAAATGATGATGTGAAAAGACCTATGTATACTTACTAGTATGTTGCTCTGGGTCCAGAAAATCTTAAAGCCTTTATTACTAATTTTGGGACCACATGCATATGAAATTAAACAAGCTTTCAGAGTCTCTCCTGGATGAATGCTTGATCTCTTAGCTGTTAGAAGAATTTTCTTCCGTAACAGTGAAACTTTTTGTAAATAGGTTGAAATATGGAACTGTGATTAGAGATGCAAAGACAGAGGGAGCTGAGGCTGTAGAATTTACAAATGATCATGCTTTCATCCTATCATCTATATTCTAAAAAATAAGACCTTGGGGCTGGAGAGATGGCTCAGTGGTTAAGAACACTCGTTGTTCTTGCAGAAGATCCAGGTTCGAATCCCAGCACCCACATGGCAGCTAACAACTGTCTTTAACTCCAGTTCCAAAGGATCCGACAGCCTCCTCTGTCCTCCATGGGCATTGCATGACATGGGTGCATTTACCTACATGCAGGTAGGTAAATACTCATAAAATAAAAATAAAAATAAAAATAAAATAAAATAAAAAAAAAAAGACCTTGATACTTGTTGTCAGGTAGGCCGTTCTCTCTCTTTTCTTTCTTTCTTCCTTTCTTTCTTTCTATCTTCCTTTCTCTCTCTTCCTTTCTTTCTTTCTTCTTTCTTCCTTTCGACTACTTTCTGTGAATCAGACCCATTTAACTGTACCCACTGATATCCTTCTTTTGTTTGTTTGTTTGGAGACAGGATCTACCTAGTAGCCACAGCTGGTCTGGAACTCACTATGAAGACTATGCCGGCCTTGAACTCACAGAGATCTGTCTGCCTCTTCCTCTACTGGGATTAAAGGCATGTGCCACCACACCCAGCTTCCCACTGGGTATCCTTATATGAACCTTTGCCTTATTGGCCCTGTCTTAATAAGGTTGCCCCCCCAAAAGGCCCCACACATCAGCCCATGCATACTAATTTTTCTTCTGTTTGCTTGAACACATCTCTTTTTTTTCTTCAAATGAATGATCCTTTCAGTTTCTGCCAAAGGTAAGGCTGTTTGATCAGCAATGACCTCAAGTTCTCCACACTTCACTGAATCAAAAGAAAAACTAAGTGAACTGCTTCTGTGTGACAAGGTCAGGTTTTCCACGCCTTCACATGATCAAGCAGGCCCAGCGTTATCACTAGCTTGAATCCTCAGCAGATTGCTCAGAGAGGCTTCCCCGATCTTTTCCTTCCTCAAAAGAAGGAAAGAAAGACAGTACTGAGCTTGGGACAAGGCAAAGTTTAAAAAGAAAAGAAAAAGAGAGAAGAGAGGTGAGGAGGGGAAAGAGAAAGGAAAAAGTTACAAAGATTTATTTATTTAAAGATGGAGGCTGGAGAGATGGCTAAGAAGTTAAGAGCACTGGCTGCTCTTGCAAAGGACCTTGATTGGGTTTCCAGCACCCACGTGGTGGCTCATAACCACCAGTAACTCCAGTTCCAGGGGATCCAATGCCCTTTTCTGGCATCTGTGCACATTGCACAATACAGGGACACTTACAAACATGCAGACAAAACACTCGTAAACAAACGTAAGATTAAAATTTTTAATTTTTTTTTAAATGGAGTCTCAAAAAGACAAAAAAAAAAAAAAGGAGCTGAATGAAGCTGGGTGTGGTGGCGCACGGCTTTAGTCCCAGCACTCAGCAGCTGAATCTCTGTGAGTTCAAGGCCAGCCTGGTCTACATGATGGATCCAAAGCCCCAGAATAATAGATTTAAACTAAAATCCCCCAGGCCTGAGAAAAACTGTACAAGGAAGTAAAAATGAAAAATAATTCTGAATGCTAAGAACAAGCTGAGCTGACCTTTTTCATGCTCCTCTGCCCAAGTTGGAAATCATCCCAGAAATTCCCCCTACCTCTGCTTGGCACATAGCCACCGCTTTTCTGCTTGGCACATAGCGCTTGTTGCATCTCCTGATTTGACTGTGAACTGAGCTCTGGACTTCTATCCTCCGAGTGAGGTGGGAGTCCGTTTTGCAAAACGCCAATAAATCCTCATGCTTGTTGCATCTCCTGATTTGAGGACTGAGTTATTGGGGTGCGACCTCCCGTGAATGTAGGGTACCCCAGTCTGGGGGTCCTACATACAGAGCAAGCTCCAAGCCAGCTGAGGCTATGAGGAGACCCTGTCTCAAAAAGACCAACAACAACAAAAAAAAAGAAAGGGAGCTGAAGAGATGGCTCAGCAGTTAAGAGCACTGGCTGCTCTTAGAGGACCTGGGTTCAGTTCCCAGCACCCACATGGCAGCTCACAATTGTCTGTGAATTCAGTCTCGGGGGATGCAATGCCCTCTTCTGGCCTCTGTGGATACCAGGCATGCACATGGTACACATACACACATGCAGACAAAGCACACACATAAAAGAAAAATAAATAAACCTTTAAGAAAGTAAGACTCTCTCTCTGACAAACAGTGCCATAACTAAAGAACCTTTGGGGGTTTGGTGTCATTTGCCATTTTTTCTGAAAGCACAATTCACCAAAAGCATGTGTTTTTGCTCTTTGGAATTACTAGAAAAATGCCTTTAGAGAAGAGAATTTTTTTTGAGTCAAGGTTTCCTTGTAGCCCCAGATGGCCTGTAGACCAGAATAGCCTCCATCTCACAGAACTCCACCTGATTCTGTCTCCTAAGTGCTGGAATGAGAGGCGTGTGCCACCACACCCAGCACAACTTTTAAATTTATTTATTTATTTATTTATTTATTTATTTATTTATTATTTATTTATTTATTTTTGCCTTCAGAAATTGGAAGGAAAGGGTAAGGGAAAAGAATAGGTTGTGATCATGTTAGGCACATCTCATCACAGTGCCATTCCAAGGAAAAGCTCTGTCATTTCCTCGCTGGTTACCACTGCCTCTGAAATCTGCACATGCCATGGAGGAAGGAATCATCCTATTTCTAGTTACATCTTCTCTCTTAGGGTTTAATGCTGGCAAGTGGGTAACCTAAGTGTATGTCCAAGACTCATGAAGACTCCTAAAGCAATGGACCAAGCCCAAGAGCACACTTGAACCTGGGAATTCCCAGAGCCTTGCTTTTTTTAAAAAATTATTTATTTTTATTTTGATCTTTTTGAGACATGGTCTCCCTGTAGCTCCAGCTGGCCTTGAACTATGTAGACCAGGCTTGTCTCAATCACAGAGAATCCCCTGCCTCTGCCTCCCAAGTG